ATGAGTCGGCAGTTGCCTCTCTTTTTATACCTTTGAACAGTTATACCATTCTCCCACTGTATACCACCCATTCTCCTGGCCCCTCCCTTCTGTCTTGCAGTCTCCTGGTCATGATTCGGCAGTTGCCCAGTTCTGTTTCCACATACTGTACATAGTCCATCATGGAGTCACTTCACTAACTTTTCATTTTCTGGAAATAAATAGGTATAAACAATGGATTCCTTGTAATTCCTTTTTGCAACAATTGAGGCATAACTAAATTATATTGCAATTACAATGTTATTTTATATTTGTGTGTGTGTGATTGGAAGTCTTCCTGACTTTTACAGTTTTACACTATTAGGGTCTTGCTACTTAGGTATATGTCTTTTGTATGACAGGTGAGCAACATATAGTTCTGATTTTTTAAAATATGTAACTGGAAGCACCTATTTCAGTTATGTTGAATAATCAAAGAAGGAAATTTATTTTAATTCTAACTATAAGCCACTTTTGAGGTACTTGAAATTGTAACTGTAATTTATTTTTTATAAATACAACATTGTAAGCTCTGAGTCCTTCCATGCCGTGGGTGGGCGTCGTTTAGAGTTGTGGGATCTATTTTGTTTTCCGCTGGAACCCTCCAGTTCACTAATTGACACAGAACGGTGGCTCAGGGCAGCAGGCCTAGAACTATGGAACAAGTTGCCTCTGAGCATATACTTGGCACAGGAATTTGCGTTTAGGATACTAAGTTGGGACCTAGAAAAAAGCTATTTTTCCCCACTTTTGTTGATTCACTCGGAGTCCAGAGTCAGGTGCCTTTTTGGATCTATAGCAAATTATGCTGAGAGCCAAAACTATGCTAGAAAGTATTGCCTCAGGACTGTATATCCAAACTTTTTTAAAAAGTATTGCCTCAGGACTGTATATCCAAACATTTTTAAAATTTTGTTGTATTAAGAGCCCCCTCCCAATCTCATTCCTTAATACACAGTTGATGCCCTCCTACTTTGGTCACAAGATATCACTGCCCTAAATTATAGTTTACTTAGCTTGCATATCATTTTTGAGTTGAGTTCCACCATATTTACACAAAGCAATTTTACTCTTTTTAAAAAACAGGGATATTTTGTTTCTTTTTTTCTTAGGTCAAGAAAGGTTCAGGGAAGGCAGGGAAAATACAGTCCAGGCAGTACAGTACCAGGCAGTCTGAAGACTATCTCCCAATCCACTCTCTAAACGCTGGGAGGAGTGAGGAAGCAGACAGGCACCCTTTTCACTGGCCAACAAGTTAACTGAAAGTTCAAATTTTGCACTTTCCCTGCCTCCCACGTGTTTTTTTTCAGTTCTTAACTCAAATCTAAGTACTTAAGTCAAGTCAATATTTTCCTATGAGAGCGGTTCTTAAGTCAAAATGTTCTTAACTCAAGTCGTTCTTAAGTCAAGACCCCACTGTATTAAGAGCCCCCTCCCAATCTCATACCTTAATGCACAGTTGATACCCTCCTACTTTGGACACAAGATACCACTGCCCTAAATTATAGTTTACTTAGCTTGCATATCAGTCCATTTTTGAGTTCCACCATATTTACACAAAGCAATTTTACTCTTTTTAAAAAACAGTTGTTAAAGATGCAATCACAAAATATATGAGGCTGTATCCTTTACTCTGTGTTCTGGACATTGATTTAGATGCAGGCCTTAGCACTATAGAGAAACATCATGGATAAAGGGCTTTCCCACACTGCAGTCATCATCAGTGAAAGGGGTATAGGGTCAGCTTGTGGTATTTTGTTATCTGAAGGTGAAGATAATAAGATGGTGCTCTTCTCTACTCTATGAGGAAAATGTGGTTGGCTTGGCACTTGAATCTTACAGCAGCAGAGACCAATACATTCACTCCTGCTGAAGTTTTCTGCAGCTACCAGAATCCTTCATCAGGGGTCATGTGGGTTTGGGAGGTATCATTCAGCATCATCTAGTGTTGGAAACCACCATTCTGCTTTCATCTGAGGCAGCAGGGTCATTTGGAAGCAGGGCAAACTGCAGTTTCAGCTCTAGCTTTGCCCCTTTTCTCTGTATATTTTTTTTCCCTTCAAGATGGATGCCCCAGCCTGTCTAATTGCAGGGCCGAATCCGGAAGGAGTTCTGTACAAGAAATAAATTAAGCTGTGATATTTGCTCCATATTGATTATTTCTTTAAAAAATCAAACAAACATTTGATTAATCCTGCCTTCAGGCTCTGCCTTCTTACCAACTTAAAGAGACTGTGAACTACTCTAGGATCAAATGCCTGGCTCTTTGCATCCAATTTGTGGGTTATAAAAATGCAAATTGCATCAGCTGTGAGAGTGTAAGGGGATGATAATTCAGGGAAGTAAAGAAAAATAAAGCTTTTCTTCCCTGGCTGTTTTCCTGCCAAAAAAAGTCCCTCTCCTGAAGCTGGTATTTCTTTGGGCTAGAAGGGCGGGTAGGATCCCCAGAGGTTCTTGGTGAGGATGGGAGCAGATTTCAGATTTAGAAGGGACATTTTGTCAGGACTCTAGCAGGGGAGGGAAGGGTTAAATTCCTTTCCCAAGCCTGTTCTGATCCTGTTAATTGCATCTCCCTCTCCCTGCTGCATGCTGATGCAATTTGCATTTCATGAAACCTGCACATTAAATGCAAAAACACTATGTTTAGATTGGCCGCTGTCTGACAAATCCACCTCTTTCCTATAAGTGGTGTTGGGGACTCCTGAGTACTTCACTTTTTATACAACACTCCCCCCCAAAGACATGAACACAGTGCCCATTCTAGGCCAGACCCCAAATATCCTGGTGAAGACCACCTAGATCTCTTGGCAAGCCCTAAATCACTCACAGCCTCTCCCCTATCCTCCCCAGTCCTCCCTGTTCTTGCACAGAAAGACTCGTACTGACACACAGAGAGAACTCATCCCCCCCCCAAGAGTCCAACGCATTTCCCCATGTCCGTGTGAACCACTGGAATCTCTATGAAACAATATGCTTAGTCTGCTTCTAACCCAAGCTGGGTTGCCACTGGCATTTATGATCTGACCACAGCAAGAAGGACGCCCCTGTGGTGTGATTTACTGTATATGTAGGGGAAAACAAAGGACACAGTGTCCTTAACAGGAGATGATTTTCTTCCGAAGGAGCCAGATATGAAGAGTAAAAGGCAGGCTGAGTCTTAACATGAAGGTACTTTCAGACCATTTAGGCAGTTGAAGATTCTCTAACAGCTGGCTGGATAGCTCAGTGGTTTAGATATCTGGCTGCAGAGCCAGAGGTTGGGAGTTTGATTCCCCACTCTGCCTCCTGCCCCTAGAGCCAGCTTGGATGGCCTAGGGCAAAGTTGCACAGCCCCAGAGCACCCCCCAGAAGAAGGGAATGAGTACTCAATACCTGGAAAACCCTGAACAGGGTTGTCATAAGTCAGAAGCGACTTGACAGCGGAATAGCTAATAGTGGAAGACAGAAACAAAATTCAAAATCATCTTGATAGGCTGGAGCGCTGGGCTGAAAACAACAGAATGAAATTTAACAGGGAAAAGTGTAAAGTACTGCTCCTCAGAAAAAGAAACCAATTGCACAGTTACAAAAAACAACAGAATGAAATTTAACAGGGAAAAGTGTAAAGTATTGCTCCTCAGAAAAAGAAACCAATTGCATAGTTACAAGATGGGGGATACCTGGCTCAGCAATACTACAAGTGAGAAGGATCTTGGAATTGTCATAGATCACAATTTGTGTATGAGCCAACAGTGTGACGTGGCTACAAAAAAGGCAAATGCTATTTTAGGCTGCATTAACATAAATATAGTTTCCAAATCCCGTGAGGTGCTAGTCCCCCTCTATTCAGCACTGGTTAGGTTTCACCTTGAGTTTTGTGTCCAGTCCTGGACACCACACCTCAAGAAGGATGCTGACATATTGGAACAAGTTCAGAGAAGGGCAACAAGGATGATTTGTTGGAATCCAAGCCCTGTGAGGAAAGATTGAAAGAACTGGGCATGTTTAGCCTTGAGAAAAGAAGACAGGGGGATGATACAATAACCCTTTTCAAATACTTGGAAAGCTGTTATACAGAGGAGGGGCAGGATCTGTCCTTGATCATCCCAGAGTGCAGGACATGCAACAATGGGCTCAAGTGACAGGAAGCCAGATTTTGATCGAATATCAGGAAAAACTGTTAGAACAGTAGACAGTGGAACCCGCTACCTCGAGAGGCAGTGAGTGGTCCATCACTAGAGGAATTCAAGAGAAACTTAGACAACCACCTGGCAGATATCCTTTGATTCTATAATGATTATTACTAAATTCTCTGTCACTCTTCTCTTAGCTGGAGTCCACCCAGATATGCTGGATTATAATACCGATCATTCCATCCAGTAGGTTGGAATGGGTGCTGTAGTCAAACACCTCAGGAGGGACCCTAGTTTAGGAGAAGGGTGGTCTCTATAGTTATTTTCTTGTCAAGCATCTCCCTGATACCATTCACACATGCACATTTGTCCAATTATATGGCCACTCTATTCACAAACACATACACTGTCAAACACATATACTCCTTTCTCTCCCCTTCTCTCATACAGACAGATTGACTGCTGCCTCTTGTATATATATTTCATTCTTGTACTGTATATCTACAGTTGCTCTATGACACCTATATTCTCTCTCATACACACATTATCACATATACTCCTCCCTCTCTTGCTCCCACGCCTCTGTTCGCAATATTTAGGGAGGATGGCAAGCATGGTCCTCGAGATGTTAAGACTACACTTCCCATCTGTCCTGGCACAGGGAGTAGTGAGCAATGCTTTGCAAATTGCAGTCTAGCAACCTGTGGGAGACACATTGGCCACCCTGCCCTACAAAGTGTACTGTACAGTATAGAGAAATCATATTTCTTTCATAGTCTTCTGTAGCTGGAAAACATCCAATCTAATTGGTCTCACTTCCTCCATATCCTTGAAAGTTGACATGGTTTCTTCTCTTTTGTCGTTCCTCAGTCTCGCGTCTAAACAGCCTGGATGCAGCCGTCCACCGCCTCAATGTACAGTTCTATCACATGGACCTGCGCGTGTCCCAGTTCTCCAAAGGCCTGGCCGAACTGAAGGGGAGCGTGACTGAGGCACAGGAATCGCTCGCGTCCCTGAACGAAATCGCCACCCGCAACCAGAAGGAACTTGGACGGATTGATGGTGAGGAGAATGGCTGGGAATGGCATTCCCCAGTGGATAGAGGAGTGTGAAAGATAAAAGGGTGGGAAAATAGGAAGTCTGGATATTAGATGAATGGATTGACTCAGTAAAGGAAACCATTTGCATTTGCAAGACCTGAGCTGTTAAGGATAGGGCCTTTTGAAGGTCATTAATTCATAGGGCTGCCACAAGTTGGAAATGGTTTGATGGCACATAGTAAC